TACTGGACCCAGCCCATGCTCAGCTTTCCTGGGCTGGCACTGTGTGCTGGTAGCACTACTATTCTGGACTCTCGATGTAGCCCCTCCCACGGCTCCTGCACGTATTGCCCAGTAAAACTCTCTGGGCAGCTTCAGCTCCACAGTTTCATTCAGTATTAGCCTAGGGAGGGCTCTCTGTCCCTCTTGCCCTAGCAACAATGTCTCCCTGGTTCCTTAGGCTTTTTGAGACCTTTGTTGTAGGACAAAAGAAATAAAGATAAGCAGAGAAGAGGCAAGGAAACAATAGTTCTAAGGTATGATCAAAGTGACCCACGGTTGCCCATATCTATACTCTGTATCCTTACTCCCTGGGTTTGTTTGTACTCCCTGGCTGCCTTGTTTTCTTCTTCCAACCCCACCATACCCCAAGTCCTCAAACATACTGTAAATCCATAAAATAACTAGCTGATAAAGTAAAGGGCAGAAACCCAGCTTTAAGATAAAGAAACAGATTCAAAAATTCAAAGAATAATGCAGGACATGGCAGCACATGCCTGTAATCCCAGAGACTGAGGAAGAGGGTCACTGTGAGATTGAGGCCAACCTGGGATCCATAATGAGTTCAAGACTAGCCTGAACTACATAATATGACCTGTCTCAAAAAAAAATTCAAAGAATATTGAACAAAACATCTTAGCTCACCCATCTTAAAGGATACCTCCTTGAAGAACACACATTTAGTCTCAAACTCAGACTATAGCGGACCTCATCCGTGACCACCTGCAATTCTGTGCACTTTGATTCTACTGACTAACTTGGTCTATGCCTCTAACCAACACGTTCTAAAAGGCTTTTCTGTGATGAGAGTCAACGAATCTATTCCATGTAGGGTGCAAGGGAGTTGAGGTCCCTATCTCCACTTCAGGTTACCTTCTCAGGCCCTTTTTGGCGACATTTTGAAATCTAGGTGGAGATTGCCTTGCCCCCAAAGGACTTGCTTTCTGCACATCTACAAAATCAGCACCACATGGATGCTGCCAAAGTCTATAGCTTTTACCTTCCTCAGCGGCAGGTGGGGCCACAGGTGGGGCTGCTTGAGCGATAGCAAGGTGGATAAGAAGCATTGAACCAGACCAGAGAGCTCTGGGAAGTGAGCCCATGGAGGATGTGGCTCCCCCAAACTACACTACTTTCCTAGACCTTTTGGTCTATGACAGAAGGGCAGCCTTGATGACCTCTGAGATTTCACTGGATCCTTCTCCCACTACCTTGAGGAATATCCTCTGGCTTCATTCTCCCCAGACAAATCTCAGTAGCAAAGAGTCACTGGCCTACATCCCTGGTTTATTCTCCCCAAGATGCTTTCTGTTCTTTCCATGTGACCAAGCCATAAGCTTTCCAAATTCTATGATTTACTCACCTTTATATTCTATATTTAAGTCATGTCTTTTCTTTAGCATCTCTCTATAAGCAATTAAAAGTATCTGGGCAATAATGCCCTAGTGCTTTAAAGATTTCTTCTGCCAGATATCCCAATTTGTCACTGAGTCCTTGGGCATGAACACAGCCCAAGTTTGTTGCTACGATGTGACAACAATGAACTTTACCTCCTGTTCCTCTTAGAATGGCCTCTACTGTCCACCTTCCCATCAGTATTCTGATCAAAACCACTGAAGTAATCTCCAAGAAGCTCCAGGCCTTACTAGGCTTTTTTTTTTTTCGTTTGTTTAACCAGTGAAAGGTTGTAGACACTTGGGAGTCACCTTCTCAACAAAAATCCTCATAAACAAAGCAAGGCAGGAAGGATGTACTAAAAATATAATGAGTAAGAAAATGAGCAGGCATTTATCAAGAATTATTCAGCAACTGTTTCTTTACAGATCTGATTGAGTTCACTATGCATCAGACCCTACCTTAGAAGACCCTGAGAATGACCGATGCAGCACTGCAGGTGCTCTGAAGGTATAGGAATGTGCACTTAGTCCAGAGCTCTGAGGTGAGGAGTCTCTGCATTATCCTTGCGATTTCTTCTCTCCTTACCATAAAATCTCCTGGGCACTAAGCACAAGGCCTCTACTCAGGACATATATAATCTTCAAATTGTTTTATTTATTCTAATAAATGATCACAATGTAAAAACAAGCCTCTCAACAACAACAGGGCTGGGGATTTAGTTCAGTGGCATAAGCATCTGCCTTGTAAGCACGCAGTCGTGAGTTTGATCCTCAGTACAAAAAAAAAACACACAACAACAACAAAATCACCAAAAGAATCTCCTGAGCCAGTCTCAGTGAAGACCTCTGCTCTGAGCAAAAACAGGAGATCAAGCTGTCAGCTCTTCTCAGGAGAGCTAGCTGACTTTGGCTACTCTTTCTGCTCTAGAGTGTCAGGTGACAAGGCAGCAATCGGAGGGCTGGAATGGATGTATAGCTAGAAGACCTGAGGTTTAACTTTTTCCAGAAGCAACCACCACAGAGAAAAAAAGGAAAGATAAAACCTTCTTTCCAGAATGTTACCAAGGTTATTGGATGTGGGAGGAACATACCCCCTGGGTAGAGACCCCTGAAGCACCGAGCATGGCTGCGGACCTCATTATCCACGTCAGCTCCTCTTTCTGGCTTTTTATTCCTAGCAGATGTTAAATATAAACATTTTCATATGTTCTATTTCTCCTGTGATCTTTTCTCTAGGAGTTATGTTTCTCAAAGGATGGTAAAAGAACCAATTACATTCTAATGAGAATGGGAGAGTCTGGAAGACTTTTGAATTGTAGGTTCCTGGGCTCCATCTCAGATTTAATAAATCATTTTTCCTGGGAATGTGATCAGAGTCAAATTCTCTAACAAACTGTCTGGGTGATTTCCTAAGGACAGCAAACTCTGATAACCAAAGATCCAGAGCGACAGTCCTCTACATGGGTTAGCACGCTGGCTTATTACGTATACCATAAGACTGACTTTCATAAAACGCTCATATTGGCTCAGTCTATGTATTCAGAGAACAGAGTTGGCAGAGATTTTTTTTTAAATATTGAGGTTAAAAGAAAAGAAAAAAAAAAAACACCAATACCCTCCACAACTTTTAAGATGAAAAAACAGTGTCCTACCTAATCAACTTATTAAAGTTAAAGCAAATGGAACTCAAAATTTTAACAGTGTAGAAAGCTTCAAATGAAACCAGAAGCAGTGTCTACTGCATCAAAGACTTTCATGAGAAAGAATTGAAAGTGTTACTTGGGTGTTTTGACTTATGTGAAATTCAAGGGCTCCCCCTACTAGCCAAACAGAGGGAGAGGAGGAGATCTCTCCTGTCCTGGTCATCACCACATCATGGGAAGCTGCAGGGGACAGGAGGAAAGGAATACCAGGCCCCAGCTGGGTGTGTCTCAGTGGGCAGACAGAAGGCACCTGTCCTGGGATGAGCAGAAGCTATGCGGGCGTCAGTGAGATGAATGGGTCCAGTGAACGGGCAGAGAAGGGGCCTCGAGCAATCCTCAGGAAGGACCCCACACACACAGTTACGGGGGCGGGGGCAACTCTGTGGCCCAGGATCCAGGCATCCTCGCCAAGCTGGCAGTTATCGCAACCCTAACTCTGCAGTAGCAGCGGCAGGAATTGAGAGGCAGGCAAGAGGTGACATCCACTTGCCCGGCCCTCACCGTCAATGTTCCATAGCAGTGCAATTGGAGTGGTCTCTCTAAGAGAGATTTGGCAGGAAGCCTCCACCCTGCTCCCTAAGGGAGAGAACTGGCAGGAAGAGAAGGGAAGTGGCTTAGTTTCCACCAATTAACAGCCCCTTGAGGCCTGGGCTACAAATGCCACCCCTCCCACTCCACCATTATCCCAACATGCCTGGATGTAGGACAGTCAGGGCAGCAGGACTGGTGTTTGTGGCTGGCTGCAAGAGCTCCAATCCCCAGAGCTGGGGCAGCTGCCCATGCTCCAAGTCTACTCACCTGCACTGGCACTACCCACTGTGCCTCGGTAGGCTCTAGAGATTGAGCAGCAAGTGCAGGCAGGCAGCAAGGGCACCAGGTATGACACAACTCTGTGCAGCTGGGGTAGCCATCTGGGTGTTCAGTAGTTGCACCACAGAAGGGCCCTGACAGCTTCACAGTGTAGTGGTAGCTCCACAGGCTGCCACGTAGACCAAGCCTTAGAAAGGCCACCTTTCACAGGTGTTCCCTTCCCCTGGCCAGCACACAGAGGGTGCAGGATGCAGGGTCACTCAAAGACCCCTGGTCCGCAACCCCTTAGCCATTCCCTCACCCCAAGATGGGCCTTGGGAACTCCCTGGCCAACACGCCTCAGCGTGTGTTCTCAAACCAGTGCAGGGCACAGGCAAAGGCACGTGCTTGGCTTGGCTCCATGATGGGACTCCAGCTGAGCAGCCACATAGCGCCCCACCAGTATCCCTATCCCTACTTCACACCCCATTGGCTCTTACTTCTTGGCTGGCTCGCCAAAACTATTACTAGTCAGTGAGATGTTCAGTTTCCAGGCTCTTGTTGTTCCATTTGAAGATTTTGACAGGACAACTGATGAATCTAAATGTTTAACATTTGTTTAAGTTAAAGGAAGAAAAAAGAAGTACTGAAAAAACAAGAGAAAATATGCCATATACTCTGAGTGGGCCCCTGCGAGAACAAGAAGATAGTGGCCACAAGGTCAGTGGTCACCCTACTTTATATCTTCTTCTGACATCAGATCCAGGCCTTCACACACAGGGTTCTGAAGCGGCCCTATGCAGCCATCCTGGCTGTGATTTGACAGATCATGTCTGATTGTCCAGCCAGTTTACCATGACCCAATCTTTGCCTTACAGAGGTGACACAGGACACCATGTGATAGTGGGGGTTGAAGAAACAGCCACTGTTTAACAGACCTACTGCCATGATGACTAACCCACTCCCATGGCAATCCACTAATCCGCTAATTCACTCATCCACTAGTGGATTAATCCATTCAGGAAGGGAAGATCCATCATGACTCAGCCAGCTCCTGTTCAACATTTCTGCACTAATACTTAGCTGGCAGGGAAGACACCATGATTACAAAGGTGATTTCCTTGGGCAAGGCTTCTCCATTGCACTGCGGACATGCTGATCCCTGTGATTTCCCCAAATGTGGGAAACTCAACTGCATAATTTATGATAGTGGGGGATTGCATATGTGATTTCCTCTGGTAAAAACAAACAAACCAAAAAAACGTTGCTACCCTGGAGACCAAGTTTCCAGTATACAAACTCTTAGAGGGCACCTCAAAACCAAAACACTCAGGTAATGAGTGTTGGGAAATAATAAACATGAAACTATAGCTTAAAAACTAAAACTAACAAATGTGGAGAACTAACTATAATTGGGATACTTGTGAGATATTTTAAATGCCAAAATTATCGTGAACCAAGGACAGTGACAGCACAGCTATTCCCATGTGTCACAGTCAGGGGTTGCAAGGAGAACAAGTACATACAGGACACAGAATTGATAATAGTATTTTATGATGGTCACCCAGAGTTAAATACAAAGAAAGGTGAGGAAATCTGTCCACAACACTGAAGTCCTAGAAAATCCAGTCAAGGGCCTGGATCCCACAGTAATGTCCTGCGTGAGTCCAGATGAAGACCTGGAGCCCATGACAATGCCTCCTGAGAGTTCAGCTGGAGGCCTAGAGCCCATGACGAGGACTCATGCAAGTCTGTTTTACGGATTGGCGTTGGGAAGGCCCAAAGGTCAGAGGTGGAAGCTATGCCAGTGGGGTGAAGGAGCTGTGCCAGTAGATTGAGGGTTCTGCAGTGGAACCAAGTGATGCTCAAAATAAGAACCAGGGCTTCCCTGAAAAGCACCACAACCATCCTCAGTAACAATGAGGCTCCAAGCTCTTCCAACAACGGGAACAGTCAAGTACATGTCAGAAAGCCAGTGTAACAAACCTCCTGGAGATTAAACAGCACACATCTTCCCCTCCAGAGCCAGGATGCAATTGATGCTCAAAGTAAGGACCAGAGCTCTCCCAAAGTGAACCACAGCCATTCTCAGCGACAAGGTCGAGAACTCCTCTGATGCAAATGGCAGAATTCATACCAGAGAAAGCTGGTCAGCACAGGCTCCTCCAGGGGAACCAGTGGCTCCAAACAGCAACGCTTAGGAGAACCCACAACACCTCACTCTTCCTCTCCGTGTCTCCTTTTATGCTGGCAACAGTCCTCAGGTGGGCCATGTACACGCCACACCATGCTGATTTAATTCAGCTGGTGTTAAGCTGACCTCCAGTTTTTAACCCATAACACCGTGTGAGTTCATGGTCACGGGGAAGGGGGCAGGGGATATATAACATCGTCCTCAGAGGGGAGTCTCAGGCATTTCCTCATCCTGTACCATTCCACTCGTGTTTATTGTCTCTTGATAAGACTGAGAAATGTCTCTATAAGGTGAACTTTCTCACTGACTCTTTCCACTTTATAAAATTCAATGGATGTTTCCTTCACTTCATAAATGCAAGCAATACAGTCAGGGCACAGCTTCTGTTAGTCCTCCCTGTAAGTCTTGGTGCTCACTCAAGACAGAGTGCTTATCTGCGACCTTAAAAACAATACAACTCATGGAGATCTGTGGAATTTGGGTGCAGTGGCCTTTTATTTTCAGGACATAGGGAAAGACCTGCATTTCACTGGGGCCTGATCAAGAATGGATTTCATGGTAATTAATTCCAGTGCACCACTGTTGATGGCCAGATCACAAGTGACAGACACTAGTGTGAGCCTCAAAGATCTTATATGTATTTGTGATGCAAGGGACACTAAAACGCACCCTCTTGCCCAAGTTTTGCCCTAGAAAGTTGTGGATACTGCTCTAAAGAAACTAAAGATTATAGCCAAATATAATCTGGACCATGTAACACATGGACCTAGATTTTCTCTTAAACAAACAAACAAAAAGGTTAGGGACTGGGAGTGTGACTCAGTGGTAGAACATGCGCTTAGTATGCACGAAGCCCTGGCTGAATCTCCAATAACAAAAGAAAAGAGAGAGAGAAAAATATGCTCTTATGAACTCTATTAATAATAGTTCCAAGTCAGAAAAATTCCAAATGCTTATTAACAATAAATTTGGGTAAATTAAACTAATATATTCATAAAGTGGAATGCTACACAGCAATGTAAAGAAATAACAGTACTATGATATGTAGCAGCATGGTTGAGCTTCAGGACCTATGTTGAGTGAAAAAAAGCCAGACACAAAAGAATACATAATTATATCATTCATTTTTTTATGAATGTTAGGAACAGGCGAGTCTTATTTGTGGTAGACATCAGAAAATGGGTATGTCCCTAGTCCTTTTCAAAAATTTTATTTTAAGGTGGGTGCTGGGGGCTGATCAGACCTTTTATACCTGTAGGGGTAATGGTGGGGAATAAAGACAAGAGATAATATTCACAGTACAGGGCACCTAGAGAAACCTGCCTCTAGTGGACAGGCACACCAGTCCCCATGGTCAACCCACTTTTATTAATAAGCACGGGGGAGGGATGTTGGGGACCAGGCCATGTGATAGAGTATGGAGGGCCTGACTGTGATTTAAGCCCCCACAGTCCCAAAGATGGCGCAACCTTGCTTTGGGGGCAGAAAGGTATATGGAAGGCCTGTGCCTCCTGCTTAGCAGAAAAAGCTAACCTCAGTGCCCCTGAGGCAAGATAACGTCTGCTGAGGGCAACACCAAGAAGGCTGGCATCCTGGTTGGGGAAGGTCCTTAACTTCGCTCCCCATTTTGCACGCCATTCTTACTGCAGCTGCTGTTCCAGGAAGAGTACTCCCTCCCCCACTGTGCTGCTTGTCTGCTAATAAAGCGACCATGAAGTCAGCGTGCTTGGCCACTGAACACAAGCTCCTCCTGCTCTCCCTTGTACCTTAAATTTTTTTAATCTTTTTTTATTCCTCACGGTTCCCCCCTGGGGTATCCAGTGGCCTGATCCACCCCATCAGAGGGGTAGCATGCTTTTCTTGGGACACCAACTGCAGCAAATGAAGAACAATTTAGTAGAGAATGTGTCCTTCTCCATATCAAAATGCCTGCATTCTTCAGGGTGTCCTCAGCACATATTATCTCGCCTTAAGAATGCCACATTCCTGAGCTTTCTTTCAGCACACTTCTGTTTCTAAAGCAAGTCACACCAGCCTTGGAGCCCAGGAACCCAGTCATGTAGCCAGTTCCCTAGCATACAAAGTAGAATACTATTTCATGTCCCCTGGTCCCCAACAGTTCCTCCTTTTTGTTTCTATAATTGCAAGAGTTGAAACATGAGGTTGGATAGCATCTAGACATTGTTGGGTTTGGTGTCTCCTGTAGAAACAGAAACACACAAACATATTAACATAACCACTCCACTGTGGAATCCGAAATAGGCCTGGTGGCAGCAGAGCCCACCACCTCTCCATGGCCGTGATGGCACCCACAATGCAGTTCCCTGGCCTATTAATACACAATCCCACTCCCATGCCCGTGGGGTTAACTGCATTGGGCCATCCCCCCTTCCTGTTTGAACATCTTTCCTTAGGACTTGAGGCCTAGACATGGTCGTAGATTTGTTCTTTTGCCAATGATGTTCTGATGGGCTGCATTTACTTTCTATAAGCAGGTTTTAAAAATTTACAGTAAAGATATCAAGATACAGTTGTGCCTGTGGAGGTAATCATAGTCATATAAGTATAATCTTAATTTTCTTTCTTTCTTTCTTTCTTCCTTTCTTTCTTTCTTTCTTCCTTTCTTTCCTCTCTCAGCCCTGGGCTTCAGAGACTGTGCCTCTGGACAATTATCTTTGGTGCTGAGGGCCCTTCCCTGGCTAACTGCCTATAATATTTATAACTACCTTGTCTGTCTACAATATCTCCCCTTCTGAAGAGCTATCCTAACTGCAGTTAGGGGATAAGGTGCATAGTTTTCATCTAACTATTTTTATATTGTGACAGGGGTCGATGTAGGGGAGACCACAGTCAGGGACCATCTCTAGATAGATAATCAAATGGATCTCAGATAGAGTCAGGTTGTAACTTAGCAGTTATAAACTCTCCTTACGAGGTCAGTCTAGTAGATCCTGGTAACACATTGGTCATTGGCTCCATCTGCATGATTAGTTGGAGTTTTACAGCACCTAGGCAAGAATAAGCAAATTTTTTGAGATTATAACGTGTATATCAAAACATGAGTATAGAATGAAAAGGCAGGAAGGTGAAAAAGCCAAGCCTAGAAACTGTTTTTAAAGGAATAGTGATTGTGACCCACTGCCTTTTATACCCTTCTGCTGATGGAATCTGATATTTTATTATAAATCTCTCTGGTTTTAGCTGTAATAGATGGAGAGTTGGTGGTTTTGAAGGGTAACTTTAGCTAAAGAATTTAAAGATTCTTGTTTAGTATTTATAGATCTTTATAGTTTTTTTCTTTTCCTTTTTTTGGTCTTGTTTTGTTTTTTGTCTTTTTGGGACAGGGTTTTGCTATGCAGTTCAGGTTGGCCTTGAACCCACGTTGTAGACCACGCTGGCCTCAGACTCACAGTGACCTTCCTGCCGCAGCCTCCGAAGTGCTGAGATTGCAGGTGTGCACCACCATGCCCAGCTAAAGATTTTTCTTAACGACCCATAACAGTGGTCAGCTACCTGTGCAGCTGGAAACTAACAGAAGGGGTCAGCCTATACCTACCTTATTACTATGGCATTGTTTTTTATATATCTTTTGGTTATACTTTTCTGCTGGATGTTCAAAACCAAGTTAAAGTGAGACCTGTTCATTAAAATTAACCTCTTGCTGTCTGTCAAGGTCAGTTAAGTCTCCTCAAACATTACTCTGGAGCCATGCATAGAACCTCTCAGTGCCTCTGTTAGTGTCAGTTGTCAGGACAGGTCACTACCTTGCTTGACTATGATGCTTTCTGTGAAAGCATGGGAGACTTTTCCCTCTTGGTTATCTTCCTTTGGCACACTCTACACTTGATTCTTGTCCTCTGGGGTCCAGCAATTTCCCTGATCAGAATGTTGGGTGACTCATCGAAATTGTAAGATCTCATAGAAAAGGTTCCCTCATGTCCTGGGTCCTCATTGACCTTGGTGAGTTAGGGCCAAAATATTGACTGTTCTCTTAGCCCATGTACCTTTCTAATTTCAATCGCTAAACTGTGGTACTGAACAAGA